CTTCCAAGTCTCCTGGGAGTGCAAAATGCGCAACATAGCACCCCTGGTTTCTCGCAGCCGCGACGCGGTCAAACGCAACTGTTTGAACCAGGCTTTACGTGGTTGTCCTGGGCTCGTCCCTCGCGCTTTATTCTTTCGATTTTAAGTATTCATTTTCAACCCGCTCGCTTTTACCAGTACTAGTAGATACTCAGGCTGCACGAGGGTTCGTGCAGTGCGACCATCTAGCGATGCTATGAGCTTGTGCACGAGCCTTGGCTTTAATGCATCTTAGTGGGGAAGGCAATCATCGGGGATATATGACACACGATGATGCCAAGTCTGTTCACGGCGGACTCTCGTGCTGTTCTGATTGGAGGAGAAGGGGCGCGTAAAAAATTGGCAAATGGAACATGGTTAGCGACAGCGCAAATATATGTTGGAAAAAGTTCAGAACGTTGAAGTGCAGCAGCCTGAAACTTTCGAGTTAAGCAATTAGAGAATCATTTGAAGACATCTTTAGAGGTTCAGCCTTCTCTCCCCCCACACCAATATCGAAGGCTGCTAGGATATTGGTTCAGGCTAAGCCCTCTGTCTTTCAGTCAGCGAACTCGAGCCGTTCCACCTGACCTTGTTATTTCATAACAGATATGTTAGAAAATGGAATGCAGATTTTCTTTACACGGCCAAAACATAAAGTGTTATCAAATAATACCTGCCATATTCATATTCTACATTTACAGACCGGGGCTGCCCCGCCTGTGCAGGGTGAAGATGCAAGCAGCCTCGAAGCCCACCAACAGTGGCTGTGTGCTGAGAGCGGAAGCTGGTGCCTGACGAAGGCCAGATTGATCTTCGAAAGGATGCGACTGCCTGCAAATGGCTACATGCGTTGATATTGATGGGCATATAGACTGCACAGAATGCTTATCCCTACCTGATGGATGCTAGGAGGGTATGCATTCCATATTTTTTTACTGATCTCTACAACAATTGCTAAATTGCGCTTCCCCGCTCTGTGATTGCGGCTGCCGGACGACCACTTTGGGACACGGAAAATTAACCTTTTGGAGAGTTGCAGAGGCTGGCCGGCAGCGTGCTGCAGACATGTTTTTTGCTCGTTTGTCGTCATTGGGAGCGTTAAAGTGGCCCTGCAATAACTTTTTGACTGGTTTTTAATTTGGACCGAACCTGAGCGCACTGAACATAGTAATTTAAAGAAACTTTTCTCAAATTTCGCTTTATTTTAAAAGTTATAGGCAAATTAGACTTACAAAAACAAGCAAAAAATAACATCCTTCATGACGTCGTAGGTCCTGGTTTGAGTGGCCGTGAAGTAGTGAGCTCATCGAGCGCTCACGGCTGCCGCACTCAGTGTCGACGGCTCGAGAGGGTGCCACTGAAGCACGTGTTAACTAGGCTGTATGAAGTGGGCGGCCAGGGCAGCTCGCAATTAAAGACTAATTCGGCATAACACTTCATTGGCCACAAACGACGGTAAACACGGGGTAAAGATCAGTTCAGAACGGGAGCCACTTGGCGCTATCATACCGCCAAAGGGTCAAATCGCCAGCCAAGCCCGCGCCGAAAGCCTTGGGAACGCTCGGAACCGGTCGGATCCTCGAGCCGGTATACGACCGCAGCGCCACCGCATACATCCGGGACCTTTCTAAGCCCATTGTTCGTCGGAGCCTCATCCCACTACGCCTTTCTAGTACAGCAAAACCTCGTTATAACAAAACGGGATATAACAAAGCAATCATAATTCCCCTTGCTTGCTAATAGTGGGAAGAAATGGACATTGGCTATAACAAACTAATGGTTATAACGAAATAATTACGACCACTCCTTCAACTTTGTTATAACGAGGTTTTACTGTATGCGCCGTTTTTTTCACCGCTTGGTGGTGGGTTTGTCGACGGGTCTTTTCTTGTTTCCGTACTTTATAAACTGCACTTGTTTCTTTTCTGATATGAAATACTGAACAAAAACTACTTTCATACATAATTGAAACGGTTCGCGACACTTATATTTTGTATCGACTAAAAAAAAAGCTTTTAGCGGCTCTGACCAGTAGTAAGCCCAGGACCAAAGACGACACATATTCCGCGCTTTCGGCAACGCGGGTCGCCCTCGTAGGTGGAGGAGGTTTTCGCGTCGTCCGGTTAAAATATGACTCACTGATATTTAGTTATTCTCTCCGTGCCCGCTGGCTTACCCGAACCCAAAGAGACGTGGAAACCGCAAAAGAGGTAGACGCTTAAGTATGATTGCAGCTCCCTTTTAAGTCCACACTCCTTTACTCCTACTCTGACGCTCCGAGTTTCATACTCCAGGCACAGCAACTAAACGGCGCACGGCGTACAGGAGCGCGACACACCGAATCTATTGACAAGCCGCACAAGCTCCTTCCCACCGCACGGTTATGACGAACCTGGCATCCCGTGGATACGGGTGGGAGAAGACAAAATTATTTCGGTGGTAAATTAATTAAAGCCAGTGTAGAGCGGCAGGGTACAAAGTAAAAGAGACGGCGACGTTATGAAGTTTCTACGAACGTTTAAGTATTTCTGAGAGGTTTGGAGACTCGCTTCGAGCACGTGCGGGGAAAGGCACCTTGGCTGATCTATTTATTGACCGTGCAAGCTGTTTATATTTGAATTAAAGACAACATTCTTGAACCCGTTTGTCGACGCACGAAACCCTCACACTTGCCAGATATTTCGTGGTTCCGTATTGCAGCGAGACGGAATGCGATGGAAGCTGTTGATGTGCTATGCCGATACCGGAACACTGTCGTTCAATAGATAGCACGTCAATTCGTTTCAGGCGAGACATGAACATGATGTTTCGGCTTTCCATTCGAAGTATCTTGATTCTCTGGGCAAAGCATCCTAGAAAGGGCAGCGCTCCGACTGTCTTCTCATCTCAACAACTTTTCTGTCGCTGTGCTGTCGGTAACCTTCCGTTCAATAGATGAATTCGTTTTCAGGCGAGATGCACGAACAAACCTTTCCCGCAATGCTAACTGATGCTTCGGCTTTCCAATCTAAGCATCTTTATTCGCTGCAGCTGGACTAAGCAGTTTAAAAAGGGCAGCCGTCCCACTGTCTTCTCGGCAACTTTTCTGTCGCCGAGCTATCAGCACGCTCGTTCGATAGATCACTTTGTTCTCAGGCAAGGCACATGAACAAACCTTTTTTGGAATGCTAATTGCTGTCTTGGCTTTCGAAACAAATTGTTTTTACCTGCTGGATTAACCACTAATGACTGAAAAGGAGCAGCTGTCCGGCTACGCCTTTTGTTTCAACAATCTCAACAATGGCACAGCCATCTTGTTTGTGGACGTGACATCACGGAGCGCAAAGAAGTCACTTGTGCTCCAAGAAATGCTCGTAGCACGAAGAGCACGCTCGAGTGTCAGTCTCCGGCGGCGCTCCCCTCTGTTTAGTGAAAGGAGCGCCAAACGCTCGCAATGTGTAAACAATAAGAATTTCCTTTGAAATCGCATAAAATGTTTTGCAACAGCGCAACACCGCAAGAAAAAGGCACAACTTGTCGAACGTCGAGTCTCGCCGGTCTTGCGGCGTGATCAAAGCTTCCTTGGCCTGCCAAACTGCTGCGTCTCTGTGCCTTTTCACGCTTGGATACTTATCAAGAATCGATGCCATGGCAGAGCTTTGAAGGTATGTCGCACATAGGCGTCTTCTCTATCACCCAGCTGTTCCAGCGAGTTGCTATCAATAGGAAACGAAATCGGTGGTTGCTATTATGGACTAACCATGGCTATGTTCCAAATCTACTCAAATGGATCACATGACAGCACAAATAGAGCAATGCTGTGGAAGAAGGTAGGTTTTCGAAGGCAAAAGTATGAAGCAGCGATATCTGAAGTTTTTCAAACGTGGCCCGTCCATATGGTTGTGTGCAATCTGTCGTCGTCGCCATAGCCTCCTAGCCCTCCTTTGTCGCCACTGGATCATGCCCGCTTCTGGACTGCAAGTGCCGCATGTTACAAATACAGTCGTAAGAGTAAAGTAAAATGCTGCTCCAGAGGCACATGCATCTTCATGCTCTTTGCACTCACGAAACAAATCCACACGGCGTTAATTCTTGATCGGTATTCAAGCGTGCGAAGACAAAGATGCAGCACTTTGGCATGCCAAGGAAGCTTTTATCATGCCGCCAGAACGGTAAGACTTGCGTTAGACGAGTTGCCCCTTTTTCTTGCGGTGCTGAGCTTTCGTAAAAATTTCCACGTGTTCTCAAACGCAATTCTCACCGTTCGGGGTTTTAACAAACTTCTTCGGTAAATGACAACGAACGAGCAGAAAACATGTCTTCAGCTTACTGCCGCCCAGCCTCCGCAACGCTCTAAAAGGTTGACTGATAATCTTTGTCCCAAGCTGGCCATCCGGTGGCCGCACCTGAGCTGCAACGACCAAGCGGAGACACGCGATCCAGCAAATTGTCGTGGAGATCAATGGTATTGCTTGCACAGCGTACTATTAGTCTTCAGAGCAAACACAAGTGTCGCTGCCGTCGCCACGTCTTCAGAGCCGTATATTGGGAGAGTTTGGCCATTCATTGGTATCAATGGGGCGAAAATCTATTGGTCGAATAGTTGATTGACAGGCCGCTCGTGGCCAATCACAAGCCGCAAAACCTCCCCTAGCGGTGGTCGTGAGCCTCAAAAGTAAAGCAGGGTTCGGTAATTTCATTTTAGCGTCGCTAGAGTTAAAAAAGTTAACGCTTGGTGACTGAAAACTTGGTGCATGTGAGCTTTTCGTCATAGCCTTCTTTAATGGTAGAATAAACGAATGCGCACGCGGACACGTGCGTTGAAATAACGTAAACAAAAGTTTGTGTAGCCGCGGGAGTTCCGCCGTTCCGGCCTTGTTTGAAAAATGGGTCGTTGTTGTGCCCTGAAGTGCCGGAACAGAGCTTCCAGGGGAATTCGCTTGTTCAAGCTGCCGAAATCCCCGAGGAGACGGAAACTGTGGCTTTCAGGAATCAAGCGTGGCGCGGGGTGGAAACCTCCCGACAGAACGTACCTTTGCGAGGTGAGGTATTGTTCATTGTTAATATTGTGACGCGAGCACGGTGGACGCGAGTGCACTGTGACGAAACCGTGTATTTTGTGATCTATTCTCTACTGCCGTGGAAGCGTCCTGTGCGCTTTCGCTTCACCGCAGAAAGACGAGTGGTTCAGGCCTGTGGCGGTCGTGCGATGATGGATTTGTAAGATCGCGTATTTTGAAAGCGTGAGCCTCTCGTCAGCGGAATAACAGTGCTGTGACTTGAGCGGCTGAATACACAGTTTTGACGTCTACCAAAACGTTATTCGCTGCAGGACCACTTCGAGCCCCCCCAGTTCCAGACGAGGTGCTCTGACGGCTGGAGGAGGCTAAAAGCCACAGCTGTTCCGAGCTTGTTTCTGCATTCTGAAAGTCAAGTGAGTGTGTGTAACGAGGATAAGTGAGATTTTTGTTCTTTTGGTATTTACCTAGATTATGAGAGTGAATTAAAAGCAATAATTTATCTTGTGTTAAGATGTTTTTACTGATATGATTTGAAAGAGGCACAGGTGACCTATAATAATGTGGACTTGGTAGGCTGTTGACATCTCTGTTCCATGTCAGAGACCTTTTTTTTTTTTTTTAAATCGGAGTGGTCCTTGTGCAAGAGTGCATGAGACACCATCATTCAGTGTTGCAGCCTGACACAGCACAAAACCCCGCCTCATGGAAATGTAAGTCAAAACCCAATAACTCATATTCTGTTGCTTCTATTAAGTTAATGCATGAGGCATTCATCACTCTCAGCTGCCTTGTAATGTTATGACAGCCTCACCAGCTAAGTATCTGTCATGGTTCTTGCATGGCTTGGAGTGATCTCGTGAGGTGGGCAACACCCAGTGGACCATTTGCAGAATTAGTGGCTCGAGAGTGCATGACTAAAAGACGAGAGTTCCCTGGCCGCAGGCACGTCCACTGCGTCCCGTTGGCTTATTGTGTCGCATTGACTTAGATAGAGCTCCCCCAAAACCACTTTTGTCCCCCTTGAGGATTATCTTTCACCCCGAGGTAAATACAAAGAAGCCTTCGTCCCTCTCCGCTCGGCCAGCATGAAGAGAGAAAGGGCGACAAATCCATTTATTCTCGAACCCATATTTCTGCAAAACGAGGATTCTCGTACCGTGTTTGCAGCAACCAGCGGCCAGGACCTCCGGAGCGACCCTGCAGGTCGGCCTGCTGACGCAGCTGCTCCCCACCACCAGTGGGGCGTGCTTCGTAAGCATCTTCCAGGGTCCTGTGTACCCCCGTGTAGCAATACCACCACGCTCTTCGCCGCAGGTGACCAGTGACAACCAGCGCGGCCAGGCCAGCTCAGCTGCCCGCGGCACCTTGGTGTCGGCAGACACCATCAGCTGGGTATGTGGTTCTTGCACGGCTTGGAGTGATCTTGTGAGGTGGGAATCACCCGATTCTCATACCGTGTTTGCAGCAACCAGCAGCCAGGACCTCTGGAGCGGCCCTGCAGGGCGGCCTGCTAACGCAGCCGCTCCCCACCACCAGCGGGGCGTGCTTCGTAAGCATCTTCCAGTGTCCTGCATACCCCCGTGTAGCAATACCACCGCACCCTTCGCTGCAGGTGACCAGTGACAACCAGCGCGGCCAGGCCAGCGCAGCTGCCCTCGGCACCTTGGTGTCGGCAGACACCATCAGCTGGGTATGTGGTTCTTGCACGGCTTGGAGTGATCTTGTGAGGTGGGAATCACCCGATTCTCGCACCGTGTTTGCAGCAACCAGCAGCCAGGACCTCTGGAGCGGCCCTGCAGGGCGGCCTGCTAACGCAGCCGCTCCCCACCACCAGCGGGGCGTGCTTCGTAAGCATCATCCAGGGTCCTGCGTACCCCCCTGTAGCAATACCACCGCACCCTTCGCTGCAGGTGACCAGTGACAACCAGCGCGGCCAGGCCAGCGCAGCTGCCCTCGGCACCTTGGTGTCGGCGGCCTCCACCAGCTGGGTATGTGTCATGGTTCTTGCACTGCTTGGAGTGATCTCATGAGGTGGGCGACACCCAATTCTTGTACCGTGTTTGTGGCAACCAGTGGCCAAGACCTCTGAGCGAACCCTACAGCCTCTTTCTCCATCACCCGTTTCACCTAGGCTCACTGAAGATGTCTTTCTTCAGATGAGCCGGAAGATCAAGCAGCTGGAGAACGAGAATCATCGCTTGGTGAGGCAGGCTGCCTTACAAAAGACAAGGGAAGCGACATTCCGGTCTCACTTGCACGAGTTCTTCACTGTGGACCAACTGGCAGCTCTATCGAGATCCAGCAACAGGGGGTCCAAGTGGTCTGATGAGACGGTGAAGAAGTCGCTGCAGATGCGATCTGCATGTGGCAGCTTGGGCTACGACTTGCTACTGGAGGGGAGCTTCCCATTGCCGTCGTCTAGAACTCTAGGGCGGCGGCTTGAAGGCAAGTTTGTTGTCAGGCTACTCAAATGCTTCAAAGCTCCCTGTTGATTATTTGCAGGTATAATATCCTTGTTAGTAACTGTAGTGTTTTTGTATTTTGCACAATTTATTTTTAAATGATAAGTTGGTGTCATGGTTCCTTTTTCACTTAGTTGCAGTGTGGTATGAAGGGGTAGATTATTGATATTGTGTTGGAATGATTCTCTCATCGCAGGCGTACAGCACTAGTTTGACCTCAGTATCTTGCACTCGTCGAGATGTGAATTCAAGTTTAGAGGGGGAGTGTTTCCTTCACTCCCAATTTTTGTAACCTTGCTGATGCGACCATGGAGGTAATTATGCTGACGGTGTCTAGGAGAGCACCCTGTGGTGATGATGGTCGAATGAGGCTTATGGATTCCATACGAGCACTGCATGAACACTTGACTGGGGTTCGTGACAATAAGTGCCTCGGCAAACATTTGGGCAGCTCATGACTAATCTCTGCACACGAATGGCCAAAATTAAACATTGTTTACAGCTCAGCACATGCTGCACATGTTGCCATCCCCAGCCTATGGCTATACACAGTTCTCACGTGACGTCATTCTAGTCACCATTCCCAGGTACTAAGCGTCCCATTAATGTAGTGGAAGGTAGGTCTAATCTGCACCCCGTGATTGGCGCGACCCTACTAGAATAAAACGTCATCATCTCACCTACCAATCGTGTGTGTCCTGTGTCCTGTGATGTCGAGATCGCTCTAGCGCTCTTATCAGTTGCCCTTGGGACTCGCGATGAGTTGGCCGCGTGCCGTTCGTTCGGTGATGTGCACACTTTCTAAGTGCTGGCAAAGTCGCGATTGCAGCGAGTTAGCGCAGTTGAGTGCGCTTCTTAACGAGCACCTGTGTGCTGTGCAGAAGCGACACTTACAGAGGAAACACCGTGATTGTGCGTATTTCGCAGGCACTGCGATTGTGCATTGAGTGGAAGGCACACCTCCAGAGAAGAAGAGGTCACGCGCGTGTGCGACGAATTCAGGAAAACGTTGTAATGTAGCGTAATGATTGTTCATGTTCCTGGTCAATATGAGTGCTTACCTCAAGGCCAAAAAAAAAAAAAAACTGGCTTTTACCATGAATATGTGTTACTCTACAATTGAGGTCCCGTCAAGCAGTGTGCATCATTGCTCATCATTTCTTTAGTCTAAGATTTAAAACGAATATTTGGGTATAGCAAGAGGACTGACAAATCTCTCATCTACTTACAATCTCTATGTAGGGCTTGATTTATTTGAAGCGAGAGTCATTCAGTAATATAGATCAGAATTAACTGAGCCTTGGCAGTGGGTAGGCAGATACTTGAGAATAACCTAAATGAAACCAGCTAGATTTTCTTCTACAAAGTATAATCATTGCTCACATGCTGAGTTTGTGCACTAGAAAGCTATCTCTACAGGAAAAAGGCTGTTGACAAGGAGAACTAAATGACAAGCTTCATTTGTTGCTTCGATTAGCAACTGCAGAATTTACGCACATCCTTGAGAACGTGAACAAAACATACTCAAAATTACTCTCGTCTAACCTCATTTCAGTGGATTACTGTGTGCCCCTTGATATTAGGTGTTTTAGGTATGATAGTCTTTATATCATATCTAAAATGACTTTTTATTCATACTCGTTCACACTCATCCATCACTCAAATACTATAATGTTTTGAAAAATGTGTACTAAGGTAAGAGTGCTAAGCTAAGTTAGCATGTAGCTTAGCTTGTTTGTAGCTAGCTAAGCTAGTTACACACGACTGGAAGCTAACTTAGGTTAGCTTCCATTAAGCTAAGCTACCTTCCGCCATCTTGACATCAACACTGTCAAGATGGCGGAAGCTGAGCGCAATGGCAGTATCAGAAAGGCACAGCAAGTATTCAATATGCGATTCGAAATTATTCGACCCAAGTCACTATTAGCTTCTTATTCGCTTGAAACATAAAATTCGTTATTCGCACGTGCCTGCTTAAGGGGAAACTAAAGCGGTTTTGTACCTTTAAAAAACACTTGCATCACCTTCATATGGCCTCCAGTATCACGAATATTAAAATTATTTGTCAATTTGAGGCCCGGAGTAGCCATCAAAGCATTTTGACCATATCGCTGAAGCCCCGCCCTCCCGAGGTGTAAGAAGCTAGGAGGAAATTTCTGAGAGACAGCAGCGTCGCAACAAGGATCCTCGGAATCTCTGCAGCTATTGCAAGCTTATTTGAGTGGTCGACAAATTGTGTGCGATTCACCTCATGCTCACGATTTTCACTCGCCTGTTTGTTTTGACGTAAGTTTAGTACACCTATAAACTTTCATAAAAGATTTAGCGGATGTTGGTCAGGCGTGAAAGATTGTAGCGGGAACTGGGCGTCTGTAGCAGATGACGCACCATTTCACGAGAAAAAAAAAACGCTGCATTGGGCAAGGCTGGTCACATGTGCCGGAACACTGCACGAGAGATGGTGCTTGAGCTTCGGTGGCCAGGTGAAAGTTCTTGACGTGACATCATGCCGAGTGAATTTTTTAAATATTTCTTTGCGTTGGGTGATACTTCTTGAGCAAATAGTGCATATTCAAATTTGCAGGATACAAATATGGAAGAATTTACCTCTAACTCATTTTTTTTGGAGAACCTCTTTAGCTTCCCTTAAAGTGTTTTCAACAAAATCAGTCAGTGGTTCACAAATCGGAGTCGGTGACACTTTTAGCAACGCACAGCTACCAAAGTAACCATGGAGTGTACTTTACTTCAGTGCTGGCATTCATCACCTTTGCTCATGAAGTGGAACTGCCAACTTTAAGAGAGTGGCAAAAACTCGTAAAAAACCAGCAAAAACCATTCGTATGGACAACAATAATGGAAGTTAGCAGCCTTTTCTTCGTTTAGTGCCCATGCTGTTCTTTTATTGACTGAGGGGGAAGTTTCAAATCATTGATTCCTTCAGTCGAGTTTACCAAACATTGCATACACTTGATGATCTAAAGCAGTTCTGTGTTTGTAGGTGAGCACTGCCCTACGGGTCCTCAGTCACTCCACGGCCACTGCCCTGC